GGGCTGATTGGGGGACTTTTTACATCTCTTGTAAGTGGTGCATCTGCAGTATTATTTTCGCCAATGACATTTATCAAGAAACCACTCTTATGGCTTGAAACTATTAGCAAGTATCATGCAACTCATAGCGCTGGCCCCAACTTTGCCTTCGAGTTGATGATTCGAAGATTGGAGTCTGACAAGGACAAGCTACGTAATTTAGACCTTTCATCCTTGACTTTTCTTATGGTTGCTGCTGAACCAGTGAGGCAGAAGACCCTGAAAAGATTTATTGAGCTAACCAGTCCGTTTGGCTTATCTGAAAAGGTGATGGCGCCTGGATATGGCCTAGCAGAAAATTGTGTGTTTGTCTGCTGTGCATTTGGAGAAGGTAAGCCAATCACAGTTGATTGGCAGGGAAGGGTTTGTTGTGGATATGTTGATCATGAGGATGCAGATATTGACATTAGAATAGTTGATCCAGAAACTTTTGAAGAGCTTCTGGAAGATGGAAAGGAGGGCGAAATCTGGATTAGTAGTCCAAGCGCAGGAATAGGATACTGGGGAAGGGAAGAATTGAGTCAAAAAACTTTCAGGAGTGAACTCCATAACCGTCCTGGACGTAGCTACACAAGAACTGGAGACTTGGGACGAATAATTGGTCAGAAGCTATTCATCACTGGCAGAATCAAGGATCTTATCATTGTTGCTGGAAGAAATATTTACTCAGCTGATGTTGAGAAGACAGTTGAGACTTCGTCTGACATTCTTCGTCCTGGTTGCTGTGCTGTCATTGGAGTTCCCGAGGAAATTTTATCAGCAAAGGGGATTTCCACTCCAGATGGCTCTGATCAGGTTGGCTTGGTTGTGATTGCTGAAGTAAGGGATGGTCAACCAGTCACCAAAGATGTGATTGAAAAAATTAAGACTCGTGTGGTGGAAGAACATGGAGTCAATGTCGCTTCCATCAAGTTGATCAAGCCCAGAACCATCAGCAAAACAACATCAGGAAAAATCAAGAGATTTGAATGTGTCAAACAGTTCAGTGATGATACACTGAGCTTGATACCACAAGGTACAAGACCTGTTTTGAAAAAGAAGTCTTTGTTAAGTTCATTTACTACAGGAATGTTGAGAGAAGGAAAGACATCAGGGCCACTTGCACCTCGGAAAAGGATCAGTAAGAATGAAATTGAAGAGTTTTTGAAAGGGCTAATATCTGAGCAGACCGGAATCTCAGTCAACAACATCTCAGTCACAGACAACTTGACATCGTATGGAATTGACTCCATTGGTGTGATTAAAGCAACTCAAAAACTCTCAGATTTCTTAGCAACTCCGATTGCAGCCATAGATGTTTTCACTGCATCCTGCATTGAAGAATTGGCTAACTTCTGTGAGGATCTTCTATCAAAGTCTCAGCCTCAACTTATAAACAATTCATCCAATGTTCCAGAAGCTCAGACTGATCCCACAGAATTGATTGTGGAGGTATCCAAGTCTTGCCAGTTTGGTATGCGTGTACTTCAACTCCTATCACTTGTTTATATTTCTATCATTCTGGTGTCTCCTGCATATCTATCCATCACTACTTATCTAAATTTCATCCCAAGTGCCAGTGCATGGATAAATGGGTTTCCCTGGTCACATTACTTAATTTCCCTGACTTTCGCACCTGTTGCTTGGATTCTTTGCATGGCTTCTACTTGCATTTGCATTTCATTATTTGGGAGCTCTTTCTTGGGGCCAAACCATGCCCTTACCTCTGAAATTTCCATCTATTCAATAGATTTTCTTAAGTGGTGGACATTATATAAGGCCCAAGAAATTTCCTCTAAAGTTCTGGCGATACACCTCAGAGGAACAGTGTTTCTCAAATTCTGGTTTAAGATGCTGGGTGCAAGGATTGGATCCTCAGTTTTACTTGATACAGTTGACATCACTGACCCATCTTTGGTGTCAATTGGAGACGAAGTTATCATCGCTGAAGGCGCGTTGGTTCAAAGCCACGAGGTAAAGAATGGAATTTTATGTCTCCGTCCTATTAGGATTGGCAAATGTTCTTCCATTGGACCTTATGCTGTTATCCAAAAAGGAAGTGTTATTGAAGAAGGTGCTGAGATACAGGCCTTGCAAAAGGTTGGACAAGACCAACATGTGTTCAAACCTGCAGAGCTTAACAAAGTAAGAAATGCTTATAAAAATATTTTATATATTCTGAACATATATTATTAGGTGATTTTTTTTAATATCCGACATTCTCCCTCAACCCAGACACACCCACACCCATACCCTATGCAGTTTGTTTAATATTGAGATTTCATTATACTTCTACTAAAGAAGCATTTTCATCCTTTGTTGCTCCAAATCTCACCACTTCATTTAAATAGCTCCTGCAGTCACTTTGTCTTTCTTCTCAAGTCTTGTCTGTGCAATTTTTTGGAGTGTAGGAATGTATATTTTATAGTACTTTTATGTAATTATGGGGTGAGCTCAAAGTCAATTGAAGCTAGAACTATTAACTAATGCCTTTTCCTTTTTATTTCAGAAAACAGAGCAGCCTGTCAATGCCAGCAAAACTCAATATGATATTATTTACCACTTTATGGGAATCTATCTTGTTGGCTTTCTCAGCTCCCTCGCTGCGGTCATCTCCTACTTCTTATATATTAGGTTCTTCAACCAACCTCCATCACCTCAACACTTTTCCTTTGTTTGCATAGGTGGGGCCTTCTATTGGATCCCGTTTACAATCGTTGCATATGCTACCATGTTTTCCGAAGTCTCATCAAACCCCATCACCTTTTCCATTTCATTTACGACTGCCTACTTGCTTCATGGTTTCATACTCATCATTCTCACCACTGCTTTTACTCGTCTCCTAAAAAATAGTCAAAACCAAACACAATTTAAAACCTGGCTTCGATGTCAAGTGACAGCTTCCTGCCACCTTAGATGTGCAAAGCTTCTCTCCGGAACAGAAGTCTTCTGCATATATCTACGCCTTTTGGGCGCCAAAATTGGAAAGCATTGTTCCATTAGAGCCATCAACTCAGTTTCAAATCCAGAGTTAATGTCAATTGGTTCTGGTGTCCATCTTGGAGATTTTAGCCGGATAGTTACAGGTTTTCATTCTTGGAGTGGATATGTTATTGGAAAAATTGAGGTTCAGGACAACTCAGTTATTGGCAGTCAAAGTCTAATCCTCCCTGGTTCTCTAGTCCAAAAGAATGTCATTCTCGGTGCACTTTCAGTTGCTCCCATGAATTCTACACTCCAAGAGGGTGGTGTCTACATTGGATCACAATCCCAAGCTGTCATAAGGAGCTCAGTGAAGAATGCTTATGATGAACGGATACAAGATATGGACGAGATAAGCAAGAAAAGAGTTGGTTTGTCTCCAGAACTGCACAAAAATGACTCACAGAAAGTGACCCTGACCAGAACATGGTTTCAGACCTTCTCAGCACTATTCACTCAGCCACTGTTACAAACAGTGTTACCTCATGTGGTGCTGGGTTTGGCAGTTTTTGCACCCTTGAATGTTCTTGTTTACCAAAAGAGTGCCAAGAAGCTTCCAATATATTGGTTGCTACCCTTGTTTTGGGTTCACTCTGGAGCCTTAGCATCATTGGCATGTGTGATAGCCAAATGGATTCTTGTAGGAAGGAAGAAAGCAGGAGAAACAGTGCCTATATGGAGTCAAAGGATCATATTGGACAGCACATGGCAGGCCATTAGAACCTTAGTCGGAGACTATTTTATGGACATGACTAGTGGATCATTTTGGTTTGTGCTGTGGATGAAGTTGATGGGTGCAGATGTGGATATGGAGCGTGCAGTTTACGTAGATAGCATGGGAGCCTTATTGAACCCCGAAATGATGAAGATTGAGAGAGGGGGTTGTGTAGGAAGAGAAGCCTTGCTCTTTGGACATGTGTATGAAGGGGAAGGAGGAATGGTGAAATTTGGAGAGATCAAAATTGGAGAAGATGGGTTTGTAGGGAGTAGAGCTGTGGCCATGCCAGGTGTGAGACTAGAGAATGGGAGCAATCTTAGTTCTTTGTCACTTGCCATGAAAGAAGAAATCATTAGATCAAGGTGAAAAAGTATTTTTACTCATATGCTAGTTTGTTTGTGCAATGACTAAGTCTTGTTATTTTAGACTCAGGATCTTATATGATTAAATGATATTAGGATAATGTATGATTAAATAATATGCATCGCGAAATTCTCCTTGAATTTCACGTGTATTCCTCGCTGAATACTTTTGTAATTGAAATCCATGCAATCAATCGGAATTTAATGCTGTCAAAGTTGGTCGAAATTTATACTGACAATTGAACAAATTTATGAGATTGATTCAATGAATGGAAAGATTTCTGATTTTGGTGAGAATCTTACAATTAACAATAGAGTGTAGAATTTAAATGGTCTCGCTAAACTTCTCAACTAAATAAAAAATGCATAAAGCATGAGAATGAAACGGGTATTTTGAAGTTTGCAAGACAAGCATACCATGACAGTGTCGTGAAATGGCCCCACCCAAAATCATTGGAGGGGTCATCTAAACGATTTTTCTTTTGCTTCCTCCCATTAATTAAGAGCCCCGTGTCCGACACGGACGCCGCCGACATCCCTACGAGATTCTCACCTTGACACGTGCCACAACCTCAAACGTCTTATTACCTCGGAATAGTGTGCTTGTCACATTGTTACTGTCTCTCCATCCCCATTTTGCCCCTCTCTTTGTCTTTTTCTCTTTCTTTGTTAATTATAATCACTCTTATTCGTTCTCACACTACCAACAAGGAGGTTCATATCGTCAAATCACTGCAAATACACACTCTTACCCATCAATCTCCATACGGGTTTCCAAAAAGCTTCTAAATTTCTGGCCAGAAACCTGCAAAAAGCAAGCTTCAAGAGAGAGAGTGACAAAAAAAATGAAACAAAACAAAGGGTTCTTTATTGCGCCATTCCTCTCTTCTTCGTGCTTCTATCTCTACTTCTATAATACAATGGCCACAAAGAAACGTCTAAACCTTGTCATCTTCATTTTCCTTATTTCTCTACCATTTGTTAAATCCTCTACTTCAAGTGAGTTCAAGAAAACCACCCTTCATTTTGTTTTTGGCTCTGTTATGTGTCAAACAAACATGGTAGGAAGCGGTTCCACACAGACAAATACAGAGGTATATGATATAATACAAAACTAGAATCGTTACTAGTTATTTGGGTTGTTTTTTATTTTATGTTGGTTTTACTTGTAGGTTGCAAGATTTGGGAATGAAGCTGCTTCTCCTCGCATAGTTGAAGACTCGGCAAGAGAAGTTCCAACTGGACCTGACCCTCTCCATCACAACAACCACCCTGTAGGCCATTGAATTTCCTTCCTTAAAAAACACTCATATATCTTAGTACATGTTAGGTTCATGCCTTTTCCACCTCTTTTACTACATTCATAATCCATATCATGTATTCACTGCTTATGGTTTTGACATAGGGGCCATCTTCTGTAATGTGCATTCTTTGAACATAATCAGAAACTGTTATACTTAATTGGGGTCGATATATCTGTTAATCTTGTTTGTTTTCCATTCTCTTCATCGTTATGTTGTGAAAGAAAACAGTACGGTGTTGGCAGTCCTTATTGGTAGTTGCATTTTCAGAGTTGCGGTCTTCTTGTTCTATTTTCCGCTATTATATTTCAAGTTCAGCCATTGGTGCAGCAGCAGATTGGTACAATTTCAAGTGGATATTAATGGGAAATCAAAGGAGTTGAAATGGGGCAATTTTAAATAAACTCTGCTTGAAAAAGATGTTGCTACTTCTGAAGGGAACTGGTCCAAAAAAATCCTACACACTTTTCAACTCACATAAAAGTTGTCGATTTCACAAGAATATTTTCATGTCATATGATATTTTCTTTCCTTAGACTACATATACAAATTCACAAGCCAATTCTGTTTAAGTGAGGTATATTTACAATTAATATAATGAATATGGTTTTTTCAATATGAAATATTTTTACCTGAAAAACTCAAATCTCAAGGGAGAAAACATGTGGGTATTGCTGAACTCACCATAGCAATCCTTTGAATTTTTAAAGAGTATTGAATTTTGATATAACAAGTTAGAGAAATGTTTGCAGCATACGTTTTAATATATTTTTTTTAGCAAATTACGATGTGATTTATCATTATTGCATCTTATAGTTTTCTCTTTTGAAATATTTTTTAATCTCTCCTAAAATAATAAAAAAGTTATTTTCTTGGAGCGTATTCTAAAGAAAAAAATTAAAGTTAAATATGTTATTTGTCCTTATATATATATACTATATATATATATATATATATATATATTTTAATTTGATTTTAATCCTTATATTTAAAAAATATTAATTAGTTTTCTAATTTATACAATATATTATTTTAATATTTTTTATATTTATATTTAATATTTAGTAATTATTTTTAACTTAGGAAAAAAATAATTTTAATTTTAATTTTTTTATAGCTAAATTAAATATTATTGTTATAAGGTTGATAAAAGAATAAATTCATATTTCTTTTGAGACTAATTAATCAATTCTTTTAAGTAGAAGGACTAAAATCAAATTTGTCAAAAGATATATTTAATCTTATTTTTTATAATGAACTGAAATTTATTAGAAATTACAGTTTTTTATGTTTTATTTTTATATAATAGTTTTTTTACTCTGTAACTTTTAATAAAGTTCAACGATAAAAGTATACAGTAGAAAGTAGAGGTTTTTTTTTTAATCCTAATAGGGTGAATTGGAATTTTATGCAGGTCTACTTAGTTTTTTCACTTTTTTTTTTAATGGGCAATCTTCTCATTCATTTATTTTTTAAGATAATATGCTTTTAAAAAGGACATTGCTAAAATAATACAATCAATAATAATAATAAAACTAACTTCACAAGTCTATTATATATATATATATATACTTCTCAATAAGATCAATCTTAATCATTGATCTTGAATATGACAGCAACATGACTCCTTATATCTCATATAGTGTTGAGTGGTAATACAAACTTTTCAGTGAAACATCTACTCACCTATACATACCAAAACTTTAGGAACATTGCATATATAATTTTATTTTAATTAACATTAAATATATAAAAATTAGTTATATAAAGGTTTCAAAAAGATCAATTCTTTTCACGAAGCTCTTGATTTAATTTTGTAACTCTACCACATCTATGAAATAGTTGCTCTCACAAAAATTAAACATCTACGGAAAAACCCACTATATTTGTATTAAAGTTCAAAACATTCACGAGTTTAAGAGAAATATATTTATCTAATTTGCATAACATTATATCAAATCATCAAAAATATGATTTAATGACTAATGAACAAAAATCATTCATTTGCAAATAATATGACACCGTGTCTCCTTTCCTTTACTCCACCGCACCACTCTTGCATAGCAAGAAAATGAAAGGACTTACAAAATATTCTGTCTGATATTTGATTTTAATTCAAATATCCTATAGATTGAAAATATCTCTCTTAATCACTATGGGAATGACCAAACTCATTGCTTTAAAGTTATATTATGAAAAAGTCTTTTTGTTATTTAGAAATTTGTGTGACATTTGGCTGTAAACGTGTCATCATAAGAGGCTGTAGAGGAATCAAAGGAGGAAGTCTCGTGTCCCAATTATGCAAGTTGAAAAAGAAAATAAGAAATAAAAGCAAAAACACGAAACGTTATAATAATATAGAAAAAAACAAAAGACAAAAATATCTGAATATACCACGGGAAAGAGAAAAATATCTTTGTCTAACACACTACACCAAGTTATATAATACATTCTGATTCATTCATTAACAATTATTATTTACTGTTGGGTCTAAGATACTTAGAAATATATCTGTTGAAGAGTGTTTTAAATATCAAACACTTTTTCTAATTGTACTTTCAGTTCACTAGCCGGAGTTCTCCCCTACGCCGCCGCAGCAATGTCAACCACTGCATCCGCCAACGTCGCTTCGTTTCTTCACTTTGATACGCCGATGCTGGACCGGGAGTCTGCGGCACTGCTCCATTTGATTTCCGAGCACGGGGGATACGCATACGTGAGCATGGCGGTGCTGGCGTCCGGCGGCGACATTTGTGCGGCGGAGGCGGCGCGTGAGATGGCGTGGGAGCAGCTTCACTCCGGACCGTGGCACTCCGTTCTGCCCGTGTGGCGCGACGCGTACTCCATGGCGTGCCTTCACGTGGCGCAGTACCATTCCGGCAACGGCGAGTTCAGAGAGGCGCTTAAGGTTTTGGATTTGGGAATCATCATGGGAGGGACGCTCCTCCGCAAGGATTTGGACTCTGCCGTCGCGAAAGTGTCGGAACAAACACGAAGGAGCGTTAGGGTTTCTGATTTAGGGGACTCCGAGCACCGTCTCGTGGATCGGGAATTTGATGTGGCTGAGGTGAGGTCCGTTTCTCTTTGTTTAGTTTTATCATCGTTTTCTACTGGGCATTCACGAAATCTCAATCGTGAAGTTTTATTAAATTGCCTCATGTTAATCCAAACATATAGTGTGCTAGTGTAACTCACAGGATAAATATGATATTGATTGTTTATTAGTGGTGGAATTTGATTTTGTTTTATCTAAGGCCGTTCCGCTCTAACGTTTATGTTATAGCTTTTTACACTGTAGGTGCTCCAACTTTTACCAATGAAGTCTCTTTCTTCTAAGCTTGTGGTCAAGAAATCAGCACTGTCGTTGGATAAATTCCTGGAGGATCATTACCTGTCACACTCTCCGGTTATTATCAGTGATAGTATGGCTCACTGGCCAGCCAAGGCGAAATGGAATGATGAAGATTACTTGTTGAGAGTCGCCGGTGACCGCACAGTTCCAGTTGAGGTAATTACTCTGTTGATATTTTTGTGATTGTAAAGAAAGATAACTGTTTTTCTTTGAGGAGCAAATGTGGAGGGATGAATGTCTGATTTTCTACTTTCCTCAGGGAAAAGGTTGATAGCTGACTGACAATTGTTTTCATTATTTGCATTAAATTTAAGTCACCTTAATTGGCATTTACCAAACTGTAACTTAACTCACTCGTGGGGAGTATATGTGCAGTAACCCTTGGATCCAAGGCTAAATATTGCAGTGTTAGCCTGAAAAATGTTCAGGCTCACTGATGCTGACTGAGAAAAGAATATTGAGAATTTGAGAGTAAAATTTAAGTAAAAATAAAAAATTGTCCACCTTGAAAGGTCATTGACAAACCCAAACTGGATGCACTCAAGGGACATTGATGATTGTCTTTGCGGTGCAACTTATATCTTGTCCTCTCTTTATATTTCCTGAATTTATGCATACAGGCCATCAAAATTTGTCATCTACTCATCAGCTAGCCTGGAATATACTTTAATGCAGTTAATCTATTTGCATTGCATACTATTTCCTTCAAATTTGTCAGGTTTTAATCGCCTAAAAATGTTGTGTAGAAATCCTAGAACTTTATACCTCTTCTTGCATCTTACTGGTGAATAAATTTTGGTTTAGTTGCAACGGTTTGTGGGTGAAGAGTTCCCCCTCTCTCCCCCATTTTACTCTGATGTTACATAGCAGATTCTTTTTATCTACTAAGTTGTTAAAAGTGAAATAAAAAATAGGCAATGAAGACTAAAGTTGATGAAATTTATGATTTGCATAATTTGTTCTGATAGTGTCATACTTCTCTACCTTGTAAAATATATGTTACATCTAGGAGTGGCAAGACAATCAATTTATCCATTATCCGTTATCCGTATAGTCTATCCGTGAGTAAATCAATCCATTACAAAGATATAAACAAAATGGATTAGATATAATCCATCCATTTAGTTTTATGAATGATCCCTCCATCAATTATCAAAATCTAATCGATACTCTTATCAATTGTTAACGGATCAAAAAATTAAACCAACCAATCTTTTCACATTTAAATTTTTCTTAAGTTTACTTTAAAAAAAATTACCTAATTTATTTTTTATTATTGTTAAAAACATTTTTAAAAATTTAGAAAACAAATTTAAATATTTGCAAGGATGGATTGGATATCCATCCATTAAAATTTGGTAATAGATTGATTGGTTTAGGTCAAATTTTTAATTAAATTTTTAATGATATATATATATATATATATATGATAAATTAGATAAATTTTACAAACAAAGGGTAACTGCATCTTTTTTCCCAGGTTGGAAAAAACTATTTATGTACTGAGTGGAAGCAAGAGCTGATTACGTTTTCAGAATTTATTCAGCGGATAAAGTCTGATGCCTGTTCTCCTAGTGGCCCTACATATCTTGCTCAGCATCCATTATTTGATCAGGTATTTACAATTTAGATTTATCTTGTCTCCAATCAACTTTTTCATTTTTAAAGTGCAAGTGGAATTTTATTGCTTTCAGTTACTGATATTATTGAATCGCAGATAAATGAGCTTCGGAAAGATATTTTTATTCCTGACTATTGTTTTGCTGGTGGAGGGGAGCTACGATCTCTCAATGCTTGGTTTGGTCCAGCGGGAACAGTAACACCATTACACCATGATCCACATCACAACATACTAGCTCAGGTAACACGGCTGTACAGATCTGAGCTGTTTGTTACAACCTCAATCAACTTCCCTACCCCCACGCGACCACACACAGAATTCAATTATGTACCACTAGCTGTTAGTTATTATGGCCCTCGTCTTTTGAGCATATTAAACCAACTAATTATTACTGAAATGGAGGTACCTGACTCCAACTTTTTGCAGTACTATTACCAAGCCAATAGCTGGCATTGCATAGTTGATGTCATTCAAGCTACAGACAAAATATGAATTTTTGGATGTACTGTGGCTTATTTTAATAGAGACCTTTAATGCATGAGGATGACATTGTAGTTAATATTATATACTTGTTATTTTAAAATTGTCTAGAAGATGCTGCTTACACTATTTTTGTTGAAAACTGCCTATTACATCGTAATAATAGCCATAGCCATATCGAGAGCAAGATTATTGTGCACCAAAATATATTTGACTGCAATAATTTTCTTATTAACAGGTTGTTGGAAAAAAATACATTAGGCTTTACTCGTCATCTTTGTCTGAGGAACTTTCCCCCCACACTGGTACCATGCTCAGCAATTCCAGCCAGGTAATTATCTGAACTGTATGATTGGACAACTTGTGCTGTCTACGTGTATGCATCCCATCTAAGTGGCGAAAGAGATCTAGAAGCATTTCATTAATGTGGCGCTATGCACTCCTTTCACTGGCTACAGATTGTCCACGCAGCCAAGTGATCAAGTATTTAAACTTATAACTAACCTAAAAGATTCCATATTAGATCTTGTCATGACGTATGAGAATAATATTGTCTTAGACTAGCTGCCAACAGCAAGTAGTAGAATTCTGAATAATATGATTGTGTAGTATAAAGAACATTCTTTACAGTTTACTTATACAATATGTGATATAGGTTTATGAATTTGCAATGTTGTAAAGTGGAAACATTATAAGGGGGTGTTGGTTCTTGTTTAGCTTCCCATCTACTATTCTCTAATTTTCATTGACTTAGTGCGTATTTGTTGGTTTATGATTATTATAGCTTTTGATATCTTGAAATGCGTGTCCCCATGTTGATTAGAATTATATTTTTGTCTGAAGGTTGATTTAGATGACGTAGATGAAAGGAAGTTTCCCAAGGTGCAAGAATTGGAATTTGTAGACTGTATTTTAGAGGAAGGCGAAATGTTATATATCCCGCCAAAATGGTGGCACTATGTGCGCTCTTTGACTACAAGTTTTTCAGTTAGCTTTTGGTGGAGTGAGGGTGAAAGTTCGGATACATCCTAATCTTATATCATCATCTTCATTCTTTCTTAATGGAGATCTAGTGTGTTCTAAGTGACGATGCTAATATCTGTGACACCTCATTTTACCTGGTGACTGTAATTCTCGTGCATAAACATCATTTTTGGCACTAGTTCACGTCCTTTACTTACCGATCATAGTGAATTTGTTCTAAAACTCATGTCGTTTAATTTTTGATCATAAAGGTTTGACAAACGCAGTTCCCAACAATGAAGTAATCTTACACGCTCTCTTTCTGGAGTTAAATACTACTACTATGTAATCGTATGGTTAGTACATTAATGAAGAGGGTAGTATCCTTATATTATACACAATTAATAAGCTTGGCGTCCTGACGATGTTTTTTCTACAAAGGGCATGTAGCTCTACCTCTACAGTTCTCTCTAGTACTCTCCCAATTAGGTTTCATAAATTTGATAAACATTACTCTGCAAATATAGAAAGAAAGTTGGTGATGTGTTCCCTACAACATCAATACTTGCTACTCAATCAACGAGTTTCTATTCCCAATTATAGTAAAATAGTAATTAGGAAAAACATTTCCTCTTTTAGTCTTATCTTTCATAAAGACCATCTGAATCTGTATAATTTCTAAACTAAGCAAGAGAGTACAATCATCCAGTGATCAGTGAATTAAGCAAGAGGGTACTATTCGTGCAGGTTTCCGCGGGTCCTACCAGATGTTTAATTTTATGCCAATGGTTAGCCAGAGATTAAAATATGCCGTTTTTTTAATGCATTTTCTGTGTTCTGAATTACAGGAAATTGTGAGTATTCATAATGACAGAACGAGTGACAAGCATAATTTTATTTAACAACAATTCTCTGAACTTCTGAATCTTCATCTATTCCACTACAAGCACCCGAAATTGAATATCCAATAGATTAAATCACTTTGAACTATTGTTAATCATCACATACGTTGGCTAGTTACAGACTTAATGGTGACAAACTCTGAAGTAGAAGAAAATTGACATATAAAACTTATAACTAGTTTTACTTAGGCTGCAGACTTATACCTGCAAAGAACTTTACACCTCAATAGCCTATCCTGAACATAAAACCCTGGCATCACCATGATCTTAACTCTGCTTGGCCCTTGTGACCTTGGACACATATCTTCCATGTAGTGAGGATCAAAGATTTTATTCTCTTCAACCCTTAAAATTCCTAACGGAGGGTTGAAAGAAAAGGCAAGTAAATGTAGCAGCCACATGCATTTTGCCGCGATAAAGAAAGCTTGAAGGAGCTGTTCAGGCCATGGCCTTGTCCATTTTAGACTAGTGTTGATACAACTCATTTTCTGGTCGCAGAACTTGCTAAACTCTTCACTATAATATTTTGTTCCCTTTCTCAGTACCTCATTCCAGCTCAAGTTTCTAAGGGCAACAAAAGAAGAGAATTGTGATTGACGATCCTGCTGCGGGTCTAGGAATTTTGAGCAACCGTTCTTTTGGAAAACACAATTCTCAAAGTCTTGGTAGAGAGACTGATTTATAAAAGCTTCAAAATGGTATAGAACTGCCTTTGAGTACTTGGAATTCAGAGATAACTTGTATGGTTGGAGAAGCAAGTTCAAATTTTCTGTCAAAGAATGATCAGTTTCTTCAATGTGGGTTATAAGGGTCTTACAGAACTGCTTCACTGATAATCTGGACTCTGACACTATCTGCAAGAATCCCTCTACCATTACTTCTTCACTCACAGGCATCAAATTCTCTCCATTCCCTTCAAATGATTTCCCTCTCTGAGGAAGATTACTAAGTTGGTCACAAAGTTGGGAATTCCTTGTCTGCATGGCTTGCTTCAAAGCTTTCTTCAGTTCTTCACAGTAACTCTCCAAGTACTCCAGCTTCTGTTTCAGCTCTCCCAATGAACTTCTCATCTCAGAAACTTCCATTAAGGCCACATCTCGGTTCTCATTTGCTTCCACCAGCTCTTTCTTCAATGTCTCAATTGACATTATTCCCAAGTCCTTTAGAACCTGAGAAACATCCTCAGATTCTGCCCTATTAGGGGAATTCTCATTCTTATGTTTCTTCTTTAACCTAGGAAACAACCAAGAAATAACCCCCTTGCTTTTGGGTTGGGATTGAAAAGATGAGTGGGAATCCGTGACCGGGACAATAATGTTGGAGCTCTTGCTGCTCCTTGCATTCTCAAAATCGCTAGTTATGGTGGCAGGGGTACATTTGTTGCAGGAGGATATGGACTTGAATTCCTCCATACTGTTTCTCCTCCTACACTTGAAGTAATCATTTGCAGGTGATGTTTGAAGAACAGTAATTTGATTTGCACAAGAGCCAGTCACAGATTTGGTATCATCAATAGGGCATATGTGAGATTCAAGGTTGGCAAAACCAGCATATAGTAGTCCCTTTCTTGAACTTGATTTCTCTTTGAAATCTGCTACAATGGTTTCTATACTGTTTCCTCCTTCTAGCACACTCCCATCCCAACTTTCTGATACTGTTAGGCTTTTCATGGAGTTTTGATTGTACCCCACCAGTGGGTCATCTTCATAGCTCTGTCAATATTTCTCAAATTTAGAAACTTATTATCAATTAAAATTGAAAAGGGAAAAAATATATATTAAATGGGAGGGGGGAACTTGCAGTTGCAGCCACAAATATTGGTAGAAACTGAAAATAATGAAAACAAGCATTAAATTATTCTTCTTATTAAAGAACCCATTAAGATAATAAATATCAAAGTTTCACAATTTGCCTCAGGATTCAGCTCAGTTGACTTAATGAACCTTAAGAGTTTCATGACAGAATTTAAAGCGAAAATCCCAAAATGTTTAAAAAAGTCAAAAACTTTCATTCACGGTCGGTGTTTCCGGAAGATCAAATAAGAAAAAAGAGGAGCAACGATTAAGGATGTAACTGCAATAATAATGACATCTACCTAACCAAGCCATAAAGACAGCAGCAGTGTCATAATTCTTTCAATTGTAATAAATAGCAGCGTTAAGGGAAAGGGAACAACACAAATACTTTCATATTCCACAGATTCACGTATCTTAAATTTGGTCCTTATCGTGATTAACAGCAACAGTCAATTCAAACATAATCCAGCAACAGGTAATCCAGCAAAAGTACTCTGTTTCTCAGAAGATAGAAGTTTTCCAATAAAACTGGGAAGATTCTAGGATATACCCAGTTCATCAAAATAAGTAAAAAAACAAATTTGCAAGCCAAAATTCTAGAAAAAATTACAATACCCACTGGAGTGAAAACAGGGTAATCTTGGGCAGAGAAGTGAGAAACAGGGCGCGAAGCAGGGGAAGGGGATGGGAATCTAGCATTGGCTGGGCTATTTCCTCGCATTAAAGCCGCATGAAGAGCTCTTAGTTCCACTGCTTTGGCTATGGCGGCCTGAATTTCCTGCCTCGTAATTTCAGGGTTGCCATTGGTGTCCTTGTAGTCTTTGAAAACCTGTGCTGATGTTGCTGTTGTAGCCATGAAGCAGAACAGAGAGAAAAACAGTGGAACATGCAAGTTTCGAGAGGATAATATTGGCACCAGATGGAATTAGAATTTTTATTTTATTTTATAAGGGCGAGAAGAACAAAGGGGTGACCAAGTGGTATTTAATGGTTGGATTTGATTTTAAGGCTATATATCTAAAGTAGAACCTTGGAGAACCAGAAAATAGAAAGAGGGATAGAGAGGGGCACCCTAAGTCCAAAGAATTTTGTTTTTATTCTCATGGAAAAAACTAATGGAGTGAGTGCATGTGATAATGTGAGAAGAAGAGAGGAAGGGAGAAGGAATTTTAACTTCCATGTGTTGTGACGCATCAGCATTATGTTGCAAGTTTACCAATTTGCCCACATATTCCAAAAATTACCAGAATTCAGCATTAGGTGGTGGTACCACTGTTTAACATGATTGCTTTAGTACGAACATGAGAAGTTCCATGCCACTATCTTCCCCTTTCATATCTGTGGTCAACTATTTCTGCTTAGGGATACTTTGGACTAGATGTTGCTTTAATGCTAATTCATACTTCGTGTGTAATCATCACAGTTAATTATAACACCTTTGTGTTGCCTTGTGGAACTTCGTTCACAAAGGCATTAATTGACCTTGGTGACTTTTCTTTTCATGATGAGAACATGTTCTTATGTGATAAGGGAATATTTTAGATCCCATATATCCATTTTATTACATTTGTGTATGGCCTTGTTCACCAATTCCTTCCTTACTTGGTTGGACTTACTTCGCTTTGAGCCTTAAACCTTATACAGAAGGTTCCTTCTCTTTAATCAACTGGAAGTTTAAGTGCTGAACAGGTCCATGTCCTGATAGGTAAGGTCATTTGAGAAAATTCATAAGGAGAAACCCACTTTTTTACTTCATTGATTTAAGCTCAAATTGGACATTTTAAAAGCTTTTAACTTACTCCAACTGGAAAAGTAACTTCTTTTTTCTTTTGCGAATCCCTAATGTGCAATTATGTTGGTTGAGGTCCATATTCTGCAAATAAAAGAATTGAAGAAGAATGATATTGAGGCGTGAAAGGTGCAGTTTCTTTTGGCAAAAAGGGAAAGAAAAATAACCAAAACGTTCCAAATGCTTGACACTTAACAGACATTGAATCATATATTCGAGACAGAGTGTCAGTGGGGATCAAGTGATCAAGTGGGCATGGGCACCTTTGTAAATTACAAAAAGTCCAGTCTCATGCCACATATGAACGTTACTCTCCAAAGGGTATTTTGAAAACGAGGAATCTTTATTTTCAGTCTTGTATCCTTTACATAACTGCAACTATAATTTCATATAGGACAGTGGAATCTTCGGGGGGATATTGACCCTAATATTATATGGTTTAGAACAATTATTTAAACCTAGTAGAGGTCAAGTTTTCAGCACAGTTTTTGTTTTCAAGTCATCTAAACACAGTTGATTATGCTGTGTTTATCATTTTCATCTTTATTATTATCATTACTTCTGGTATCTAACATTTTTATA